CCTGTGCAGACCACCGGTTTAAACCCCGGCCCAGCTGATCAACACGTGGCCTCTGCCCTTGGACATTCTGACCCCATGAGCCTGCAGAGAGGCCGGCGGAGTTTCCTGCGGGAATCCTTCCCTCGAAGCTGCCAGGTGTACAACTAACTGTTAATTCTGGACCCAGCTCCGCAGCCCCATTCGGTCATCACAGCTGACTCGCCTCGCGCTTAGGACGCTGACCCTCCAGACTCGACCCCCACGTGGAGCTGTTGGGGTGACCGCGCCACGGGCGAGTTTTGCTGTGATTCTGGGTCCCCCAAAAGGAAGGGCTCAGCAGTGGCCTGGGTGCCCCGTGCCTGCCTGCGGGGACAGCCTCCCGAGCCCGTGGACGTGGAACACAAGAGAGACGCCATTTAAAATACAAGCTGGCACCGCGTGGGGCGGAACGGAAAAGATGTTGAGCCTCACGTGCTAAAATGACATCGGGGGGCTGGCGGCTCCGGTGCGGCTCAGAAGGGCGGGCCCAGGCAGGGACAGGGCGGCCGGCTCCGGGGAGATCGCACCCCGCGGGGGGCGTCACAGCCACTGCTCCGGCCTCACGTGGACGCCCACATTTTGTTCCAAGATCCGAGTGCGACCGGGCAATGGGCGCGCCCGGGACCCGCAGCCCCGCAGCCTGGTGAGAAGCCCCGCGGGGCTCATCGGGGGTGGCTGTGGCCGGAATTCTGGCGACCTGGAGCCAGCCTTGCCTTTGCAGCTGGGGAGGAGCCACCGCGCCGGCCAGGGACATGCCTGGGGGTGGCAGAGGCCTTCCCTGCGCAGGGCTCGCCCTGGGCCCCGAGGATGGGCCCCGAGGATGGGCCCCGAGGATGGGCTCCGAGGATGGGCCCCGCTCCCAGGGCTGGGTCTTCCCTCGCGGGCCGGGCTTCTCCCTCCCAGGGCAGCGCCTCGGTCGATCCGGCTCTGCAGCCAGCGAGTGAGGACTGACCCCGGGCACGCCTGCGGGAACCATCCTGGCACCGACAGCCGAGGTCACAGGCTTTCCTGCCACGACGGCCGAGCCCCTGGAAGGGGAGGCCCTGCCCTCCTCCGTGTCCGGGTGCTCGACGCCTCTGGAGCCCACACGCCCTCCGCCCCCGCAAGAGCCCTGGGGTCGGGGTCACTGAGGGCTGCACGTGGGCCGCAGGGGCACATGCTTTTGGGGAGTCCCGGTCCCCAGAAAGCCCGGGGAGGGGACTCAGGAGTGTCCGCTGACTTCCCGCTGCTCCGGGGCCTCCGGGGACACGTGCGGAGACACACGCATGAGCACCTTAAAGCAGCGAGGCCGCCGTGAGACTCAGGGACTTACCTAGAAGTGACTGTCAAAAGCGGACCGACACTTGCTAGCTCGCCGCGGGATCGGAACTGGGCCTCGAAGCCAGGCCCGGCGCAGGCCGCAGCACAGCGGGAGAAACGGCTGCCCACCCGCCCACCCCGCAGGCTCCTTCCTCTCACCTGTGGCTTCAGGAATCTCTTTGCGGGAATCCTGGCGTTCTGTGTTACCAGAGGACTTATTTTGCCACATCTTACATTTTGGAAATTATTTTAAGCATTTAGAAAGGCTGGAATGTTTTGTGTTTGGTTTCATGTTTCTAAACGAAGTTAACTCTAACTTAAAAATCAAAGGACTCACACCTGTGATCCTAGCACCAAATTTGCGAGGCTGAGTCAGGAGGATCACTTGAGGCCAGGAGTTTGAGACCAGCCTGAGCAACATAGTGAGACCCCATCTCGAAAATAAAAACAAAAATAAAAATGAAGGGCCTGAAAGGTACCATCAATAATTCTTAGAAAAAGCCAGGGACCGGGTGCGGTGGCTCACGCCTGTAATCCCAGCACTTTGGGAGGCCGAGGCAGGTGGATCACCTGAGGTCGGGAGTTCGAGACCAGCCTGACCAACATGGAGAAACCCTGTCTCTACTAAAAATACAAAATTAGCAGGGCGTGGTGGCGCATGCCTGTAATCCCAGCTACTTGGGAGGCTGGGGCAGGAGAATCGCTTGAACTTGGGGGGCAGAGGTTGCGGTAAGCTAAGATTGTGCCATTGCACTCCAGCCTGGGCAACAAGAGTGAAACTCTGTTTCAAAAAAGAAAGAAAAAAGAAAAAGCCTTGGAGGAAGTCGTTCCACTGGGGAAGGAGGCCTGTGGCTGGCGCCTCATCCTGAAAGGCCAAGTAACTGGTTATATTCGCATCGGTGAATTCAGTACTCCAGAAGCACCTCTGTAACACGTAGCCTTCTGCGGACGGAATTCCAACACATCAAGAGAAACGCTCCATCTCTCTAATTACAAAAGCATGGGAAATACGAGTAATAGCCAACATACAATTCTTTAAATGCTTGTGAAATAGCGATTTTTTTTTTTTTTTTTTCCTGAGATGGAGTCTCACCCTGTGACCCAGGCTGGAGGGCAGTGGTGTGATCTCGGCTCACTGCAACCTCTGCTTCCGAGTTCAAGCAATTCTCCTGCCTCAGCCTCCTGAGTAGCCGGGATTACAGGCACCTGCCACCATGCCCGGCTAATTTTTGTATTGAATATTTTCTAGTATAATAATAATAATTAAGCCAGCCTTGCAAACATATGTCAAACGTTTCATCTGTGTCTATGAAGTTTAGAAAAGCTAGGATTTTCTGATGTCAGGGAGTACACATTAATAAAATTATTAAGCTCAGCATTATCTTCTACTTAAAAAGTTTAACTTGTTATTCTGGACAAGCAGACATTTGCTGAGCTGAGCTAAGTGCACCTCTTCTTAGACAGTTGATTGTTACTTTAAATAGTCACTCTTTCTTGTCCGCACATCTTATAATAAAGTAGAGATTTCTACTAAATATTATAATGAAGATTAACAAAATTAAAAGTAGTTCTGAACAATTTTGCGAGATAAAGATTGGGAGTTAAGAAGCTTTTTTGAAGTGAGTTTTTATCAAAAGGCAGGCAATGCCCCCTTTCTGCAAGACCTGATGCCCATGTTCTCTTTGTGGTTCCTTTAAAGATGAGCTATCTGGGTGTGCTGATGCTTTTTTCCCCCGTGGTTACAAATATTATTTCCACGCATTTATTACTTTTACGTGGCCTATAATTATTCGTTTAACACTCCCAGAGCCAGCTGAGTTAGATTCCATCAGCCACACACTGTGGGCAAATTGAGCTTCGACTTGGCCAGTCCTGTACTATCTGTGGTTGCGATCAGATCGATCCTGGAGCAATAGGCATCGATCCCTAAGGCAGGCAGCAAACACGTGTGGTCTTTCACACACACACACACACACACTTTTCAGCTGGTGTACTGAAGCCTACGTATGGAGGGCACCACGTGCACTCGTGAATTTGCTGTGCACCCACCAGGACATGGTCTGAGTCCACGCACAATGGTTGGTTTGTGCCAAATTGAAACCCACGCCCAGGGAGGACGTGGAGACACAACTCCTCTGTCAGGTCCCCCTTTCAGGGCTTTTGAGAAAATCTTCAATCTGCCTTCAGTTAAATACTAAGTCTAGCCATGATTTTCAGTTTTTTGAAGACCACTGAGTGTTTCTAAAACTGAGACTCTAATCCAGGCCAGTGGTAGGAAAAGGTTATTGGGTTCAGAGCTTGGTCTCAGGGACCATCCTTGAAAATGACCACTGTATTGTTGTAAACTTGGCCACTGCACTCCAGCCTGGGCGACAGAGCGAGACTCCGTCTCAAAAAAAAAAAAAAAAAAAAAAAAACTTGGTCTACAGCTACTCTTCAGCAGATGGTGATGGAGGTGGTAGTGTCAAGGTTAAAACATAAATTGAAAGAACAGAGTAACTAAGTCATGAGGTAACTTCTCAGTGAGAGACAGCAACGCACACGTGAATAAATACACAGGGTCTTTAGGCAAGGAATTAGCTCCGAGTGAGTGAGGTGGGGGATTCATTAACTTCAACAACAGGTTAGATTTTATTTTCAGATCCTATAACATGTTCTGAGATGAGAATATATATATTTAGAGTTTTGCTTGGGAAAAACTAATTACTTACAAATATTTATTAATGAAAGTTCATTTGCCCAAATTACCTACAGCCCCTAATTAAAATCTGAGGTTTATGCACCCTATTTCTCAATAATAAAGAAAGATCTAGTAGTTTCTTGGGTGAAATGATAGGCTGATTATTCAACTTACTACTCAGCATGTGTCTATAATGTCCAATAATAACTGCATTGTTTATCTTTGAGATAATATGCCTTAACAGTACCCACCTCTTGAATTACCAGTAGGATTTTTAAGAATCCCAAATATAAAGTGTCTGGGTTGCAAAATTTTTCTTGATGGTTCCATACCTAACATTTCAAGTAGGCTGAAGCTGTGCAGTTCTGCAGACCTGCCAGCTGTATTTCTTGGTGGTATGTGATGCTCTGTTACTAAAAATCACCAAGAAAAACAAACAAGGGTGAGAGGCTTATGTGCAAAATCTTCCTTAAACGATCTCAGTGTGTGGGGAAGTCTTTCTGCACGTTTTAATTGTGTAGTCATAAGACTGTCACCATTTGACATGGAAAATGTTTTCCTAGGCCTGCTCATGCTGCTGCAGCAGCAGCGTGAGGGTGGGCGGGCACGTTTTTTCTGGGTAAATTAAGGTCACAACGGGAGCTGTTCTTAAACCGTCCTTGATACGGCAAAGAGAAAAAAAATCAAACAGAAACATTTTGCACTATACATATAATTAAAAGATCTTGTGAGTTATAAAAATGATTTTGTCATTTAGATATTTTTATCCCTATTTGTAAAAAGGTATTGGTATTAAAATTCAGATGTCCTTTAAGTTAAGCTAGAAAGAACGAAATGGAAATTAGTCACACCTAAAATAACCACGAGGAATGAAGGAAATAATTTACACTTTTCTGTAAAAATTCTAGTTTATAGATCATTCTGTAATTTAAAATATGTGCATCATACCAACATAGAAAGTATTACCCATTTCCCACGTTCACAAATAATCACATTTGGAACAACTGTAATCAGACATTTATTTTCACGTTTGAATCATATACAGTGAGCGATTCATACCAATATGAACAAGTCCTTGCATCTTTCGCTGCAGGGCATGGCCTATGCACCATTTGTTTTTCATTTACTGATGTAAAGAACTTTGGACAGAACAGAACACAAACGTAATCTGACACCGTGACATCTCTTCTTCCTCTTGTCTCGCTGGCTTTCCGATTTTCCCCAGGGTTATCCAAGCTCCCCGAAAGGCAAGTATTCGCTAGGAATGGTCTGTCCAAATGACAATCTATGATACTTCCAACGAAAACAGGCCAAAGATGCAGACCGTGGTAGAAATCAGGACAGTAACACCAATGTTCATAGTTTAGGCTCTCTGATATTCTACTAAGGAATAACAAGAAAAAAAAAAAAAACACATTGTTTTCAATTGCATACTCTTTTGAATATATAATGCTGTAATGAGGGGCTGTGTGTGTACTTGTGTGCAGGACTCATGGAAAAATCAAATATGTTTCTAACGTCCCTTATCTAACAGAATATGCAGTACGCATCAGTTCACAGCTTGATTTTATTTTACCAAGTATAGTTGCATTTTTAACATCAATAAGTTCAATGGCTTTTTCATTTAAAAAAAGATACAAGTACATTTTTCATGATCCAAAAATGATTCCGTGTAGTAGTTTCTTTAGCAAAGTTACTTGTAATTGATTTTTCATATCTATGGGAGAATATTTTTAGGTAATAACTCATATTTTCTCTCTATATAATAAATACCGTCAATTTTTTTCATGATTATTTTTGGGTAAAGAGAAAGATGTACATTAGTGGTAGTTCTTAAAAAAAAAATGGAAGTTTGAAAAGAACTGAAAAGGATTTGAATATCGTCAAATTCTACCCTCTTCCTACAGATAGGAAAGCAGCTTTTACATGGCACAGAGTGAGAACCTTCTCCACGCCGGGCCCCCTCCCCGGGCCCCAGCGTGGATTGTACCAGCCAGGACAATGCAGAGAGGACAAGGTCACGCCCCAAGCCTCGCTTGGTACAGAAATGCTGAAAAGAGAATGGCCAAAAAAAAAAAAAAAAAAAAAAAAAAAAAAGCCTCTATTGTCATTTCATTTTAAAGTTTTCACTTCATAAAGAATACTGAGAATTAATGCCCAATATTTCCTTCTTACATGAAAAAGGGGAATGTCACTTCCTTCCCATGTTATATAGAATATTTTGTAGATCAAGTTTTAACATAGCTAAAAAGCAGCAAACAGGTCTGCCGGGATAAACATTTCATGTCCTCTTTTTTTTCAGTGAAGCACTGTGTCGTAAGAAACTTTCAAAGGAATAAACAGGTACTGTCTGCCTGTCTCAGTAATTAGCAAACGAGCACAAGGTGGTAACACAGAGGCCTGAACACGGGGCCCTCAGGTTGGCAGTGAGCTGGCGGGTGACAAGCTGGGCGAGAATGAAACACGTGCAGCACCGTCTCCGGCTTCACGCGTGCACCAGAAGAGGGACGAGAGGTTTGGGCGTCTGCGGCGTCACAAACCACCACAGTGAATACAGTGATTTGAAACTGGTTGGGCTGGAAACATGCATGCAGCCTAGTGATAAAGAAATAGCCCTGATGTTCACCGGGGCTTCGTAAAACACAAGATGGGGACCAGGCAGTGCCTGCCAAAGGCAGAGGAAAAGCAGGTAGGGGCTCCCATGCCTCCAAGCTTCCACGGGGCCAAAATTAAACAGCAAGAGCTGGAAGACAATTGCTTTTTAGCCCTTTAGCAGTACTTATTAATTAGCTTAAATGTTAATGTTTCCTGTAATGAACTTAGAAATGTATTTAAATAATTTTTAGGGATTGTTGGCATTTATGATTCTTTGATACACAGTTTACATCACCATAGTTGGCATCAGAAAGCAGTAAACACCCAGGCTTGCCAAGCCTAACATCTCTGACCTTACCTCTGGAAATATTTTTAAAATACAAGAAGTAAATCCCTTTTCTCCTGCATTTTAGTTTATGTTAATTACTTTAGATGGCTGTACATTTTTTTGCTAATTCCTTACTTTAAAAAAATTGAATTTACGATCTCATTTAGTCAGTTTACACTTTATACTTTCTATTCTAACATTGAAATCAACATGGTTTGATTTCTAAGGCTTATGATATCTGCTGGAAGGTTGGCCTGGATTGGTTAGTTTAGTGGTTAGTACCTTTATCATTCGTTAAAAGCCACCTGGTACTTCCCAGGTAAAAATCACTGTAGCTTTTAGGTTGTCAGTAGTTATTCTTTTTAAAAATAAAAATAATAAAAAAAGAAGAAATTGATTACATATCTTGAAATCCAGGAGCTATAAAATCATTCTTATTAAATGTTATCAGTGAGGTAAAGCTGATTTTAAATTAAGGGCGTTCTCCATCTGGAATTAAGCTGTGTGGAGCCACCATCCATGAACTCACAAAGCTGCTGCTGCTGCCACACTGTGGGCACCGCCCCACCCACTCCTATCCTGTCCTGTGATTAGATGCACATCTATGTGTTCAAGCAACCTGAAAAGCTGGCATTTTCACTTCATGCTGATGACAGGAAGGCAATTCTGAGCGGTCATTTTCGGGCACTGCGGAGTCTCTGATATGCAGGAATTTTCTACCACATCTTCTTCCATCATAGATGTAAAAAGAACCCACAACTAGGAGGCTGAATTTTTATTTTGGAAAAAAGCACAAAGTAAAAATTTCAAGACCAATCAAGATGCACCGAGACGCTGCTTAAATCTAAGCTGCCAACCTGTGTTGACGTTCCTGGTGGAAATACCACGGACACACACCCACCACAAATGACCTCCTCAAATTCCACTTTCTCCATTAGGGAAATCAAGGAACGCAACTCAGAAGTAACATTACATCCTGCATTTTATTCAATTCCATGTGACAAAAATAGTAACCTAGACTAAGACATCCATTTCAATCAGTAGATGTGTCAAGCCACAAGATTTAATAATAAAAAATATTGGGTCTAGGTAACAATCCCCAGCTGCTCAGAGAGGCCCCAGCCCCGCATGGCATTACAGTATAAAAATAGCGTCTCTCTTGACCATGCAGAGGGATGGCCTAGCCCTGCACACAGGAGGGTCAGTCTCACTGTACCTTCATGAGCCATCTTATTTACAACACTTTACATTTCTCTTTAGTTATATACACATCCATTTGGGAGAAGAGAGGACACTATGTGGTACCAAATACTAACCAAAAAACAAACGAACAAAAAACCACACACACACACCAGAAAGGACACCGATAAATAGTGAAAACATTCAACTGCTGAAACACAGCGACCTCAAGCCACCTCAGTTTTCTCTGCCTAATGCTTGAGACACCCCGAGCCCTCATCCCGTGAGAAGAGGGGGCACGGTGGGGCCACGTTACATCTCATCACCGTGGAAAACAGAGCTGTAGAGTTCAGTGTTCATTTCCAATAGAAATAAACAGCTAATGAGTCTTTGATACTCTTTTTGTTCAGTGACACGCTGGCACACACAGCCCATCCTCTCACAATGATTGTTGTTGCTGCTGTGGTTGTTAGGAGAAGATCGTTTTATTTTTCTGTCTCAACCGAGAAGACGTCACTGTCCGGGCATGCAACTCCTCGCACTGTTACCCAGCTGACAGAGCATCTCTTGAACAATTTTGTTGTTGGAAGTTCACAGTGTCAGACGCCAGCACGCTTGCAACGCACGAAAATGAGGTAGTTCACACGACGCCGTGTTTGCGCTGCCTCGGCCGCCCCTGCCTCCCGGGCCCTCCCGGCTGGATGCAGCTCAGCCATCAGCGCCAGACTGTGTTCTGAAAAATCAGAGGACACTGTGCTTTGCTTTCATCTGAGAAGATAATAAATAAATCAGGAACTCGGAAAATTTCAAAGTCATGACTGATTGTACTGCCTGATACTTGCCACTTCTCTTGGGTTTACTGTCCACGTGACCAGTGCCACCAGGCAGCCACAGTCTTGTCTGTGGGTGAGAGAGAGACAGACAGACCCGCTTACGGGAAAATCAGACCTGCAAAAGGTTCTCCTAGTTCCTTCCTGGCGTGTACTGACGTCACAGTCCTAGGAGGAATTCACCAAGGTTTCCTTAGGGGGTGGTCACAGTTTTTAAATGAGCTTTGTGTTTGTAGAAAAGTTAAATAAATCATTTTAACTCAAGAAACGCCAGGCCCTATTTTCTGAGGAGCTGACAAGTCTTGGTGGCTTTTCTTTTTAAGTGGCATAGATTTCTAATATTGTTTGACCATAAGACAAAACAAGAAACTGTAACAGTTTTCCCATTTTCCTTAAATTGAAGTACTATTTATAAAATACATCTTTTTAAATTTTCAAATTATAGACAAACCTCCCTAATACAAAATACTAAAAGTGCAATAGTATAAATTAAGAGTTTGCAACCACATTATACAAACATTACCTTTTTATTGTACAGCTTTGATAATGTGAAATATTTTCTCACAACTGTTTATAATGTTGTGAGTCATTTACAGTGATGTTTGTCTGTAACTCATTCCCCAGTCATTGGGCTACAGACCACACTAGAAAACAACAGTCCACATAGCAGCTACAAACATTTAAATTTAAAAAAACAAAACAAACAAACAAACAAAAGGCTTATTACTGACAGGTACTCGCACATGAAAAGCATGCTATCTTTCCCAACAGAACTTCACAATTTTGCCTGCATTGAAATAATCCACTTATTTATAGTAAAATAAATCTTGCTTAAAAAAAAAAATCACATAGCCAGATGTATTCTGCAGTACAAAAGCTTCGTTTAAGGTCGGGGCTATTATATTGTCTGTTACCCGCATAATCTTAACATTATAAATACTACAGACGAAGATAGTGTCATGATACACAGCATTGGGAGTACTAAACCACGTCTTTAACATGAAGAGTTCTAAAAAAACATCGTTCAAGTGTCTAACTAATTCAAACGAAACCATCAAATGAGTTTCACTGGAATACTGCGGGGGACCCCTTTCTCCCTCGTAGAGATTATTGGGTTTCAGGAGAAAGGAAGTGGACATGGTCTGAGCTCTTTCTGTTCCTAAGGCGGTTTTCCAAGCACTTTTTTTTGACGGAAACTTATGTAAAAGGTTGCAGAGTTCTCAAGAACAGTCAGGCTTGTTGTTGAAGGGGGCACCATGCAGCACTTACAAGACCACCTCTCAGCAGTCGCACAAAGTGTTTTCTGCTATGGGTGAAAGTGTAATGAGAACCGAGGCAAGGAAGGTCAGAGGCCTGGCGCTCCAACTTCAAAACGTGGGCCTGGGCAGGGCAGATGAGCGAGTCACTGGCTAGTTGATACCAATCTCCTTGTTGTCCTCGATAAACCGTGTGAATGGGCGGCTGGCTGCTGTTTCTGAGCTTGCTTTGTCCAAGCTGACGATGGGTGGGCTACTGCCGGTACGCGCTTTGTCCATCCCACTGGCCATGGTGCCCAGAGGCGGGAGGGCGCTGCCCCCGAGACTCACGGGGAGCTGGGGGATGCCTCCGTTCTGGATGACGGAGATCTCGTTGTTCTTCATGGCGAGCCCGTTTGTGATAGCTGCAGCATACTGGTTCCAAAAACTGGGGTCCACGTTCATTGCCCGAGCCGCCAGGTCCTTCTGGAACATTTCAGAGAACTTCAGGGCATCGCCCCCTAGGAGAGCCATGGGGTTCTCCACAGACAGGCGGCGGCCGCGTCTCGCGGGGGCGTTATTCCACATGTGTGTCCCCATGTGCACCTGCGCGAGACACGGAGACAGCCCACGAGTAAGCGCCCAGACACGGAGGCAGAGCTGCTCCGCGTTCACTGCGGCAGACAGAGGTCTACCGCGCTCCCAAGCGCGACTTAGGGACAACAAAACACAGGTGGACTTTTTTGGACACTTCATATTTCTACATGCAAACATCTTGTTTTATTGAATATAAGCAAAACCAACAAATATAAATTAATGAATGCGGTCTTTCAGTAGACAAACTTTAATTTTCTCCTAAGGTGTAAAGCCCACATGGCCACCCAGAGAACGTTCTGGAGCTTGAAGGGTCCGGGTCTTGCCCCTTCACTTGCCCAAGCCCTGGCTCCCTTCATGGCCTCCACCGTCCCCCACTTCACATCCTCTGCCGCTGGGACTGTCTGACTGTGCCTCTCTCCTCTTGCTTTCTCTCAAATGAGAAAACATTAATTCTAGAACATCCCAGGGCCACCTGCAGCCAGCAGGCCCTTGGGGCAGTTCTTATCCAGCCCACACACGCCGGGTAGAAACCACAGGCATCGATCTTTGGGCTGTCTGAAGAGGCTGCTGGAACCCAGACAGGCTGGCTTTGCAAACGAGGACTTCACAGAGGACAGAAAGCAGCCATCAGCCAAGACGGTACAAGGCACGGGCCTGAGCCACCCAGTACTCGTCACACACCCTCTCTACCACTGCTGCTGCGATCTCAGCACAGCGCTGGCTCCTCTGCCCCACTCCAGGAGTTTCTCACCCAGCGCCCCTCCTGTGGGCCCTCTTGGCAGCCACAAGGACAGAACGACAGGGCCTGTTGAGTGACCTCGCCTTGGTATTGCTTGTATTACATGTGAGGTTTAAAACCAAGTTTATTTTCGATCAGATTCAAGAGGGCTTCAGGCCCTAGACCTGTTCCCCAAGTTGCAAAGTGAGTGTTCTCACCCCTAACCAATGCCTAACCTGGCTGAAGCCATCAGAGGCCCAGCTGCATGTGTCCCTGGGGAGAGGCCCAGGCTCCTGTTCCTCCTGCAGCCGATTAACAGCATGTAGCCTAAGTGTGTGTGCACAGGGACACACACACATGCCAGACACCACACACACGACATGCCCATTTGGACACGCACATTATACACGTATGGATACATTATACACCCACACATGGGGCACCTACACATGCATACTCATACACAACCCATACCCACATGCATGCACATAGGTACACCGCTCACCCACACGCACACCCGACACAAACACATCACACCCTACAACACACACACCACGCACATGCATGCAAACACACCCACACCCACACGTGTGGCATCTCGTCCCCCTGGCCAGAACAGGAGCAGGACCTCGGTCGCTGTGTCCGCGGCAGGTGATGGAGGAAGCCACGGCGGCTCGGCGCACCGCAGCCGGGGCTGGAGCCTGCCATGCTCTTACCTTGAGGTTGCCCTTGGTGGTGAAGGCCCGGCCGCAGATGGTGCAACCGAACGGCTTCTCGCCGGTGTGCGTGCGCTCGTGGATCTGCAGGGCACTGGCCGAGGAGAAGGTCTTCCCGCACGACTGGCAGTTGTGCTGCTTGGGCGTCCGGCGCGGCGGGGGGGCCAGCATGGGTGTCAGGCCCGGGCCCATCACTGTCTGAGGCCCGGCGGGGACCTGGACGCCCGCGGGCAGCGGGGGACCCTCGCCCAGCGCCATGGCCTTGCCGTGACCGTTCACTTCCACTTTGATCATGGTGGGCGCGGCGCTGGAGATCAGGCTAGGAGTGCTTTGGCTGGGACCTAGAGCAAAGTTGGGGTCAAATAACTGAGAAGGCAGCTCTTTCAATCTGTGCGTCAGTAAGTGCTGTTTTAAATTACCCATAGTGGAGCACCCTCGCCTGCAGAGCGCGCAGACGAACGGCCGCTCCTTAGTATGGCTGCGGTAGTGGATTTCCAACGCGCTCTTGCAAGCAAAAGGCTTGCCACAGACACCACACACAGTGCTGGGACACTTACCCCGCTCCCTGTTCAGGAACAGCAGGCTGAAGGGCGCCTCCTCCTTGATGCCCGCACGGCCGGGGGCGCCTCCACTGCCTGGGGCGGGGGCCGGGCTGTCGGGCCTCTCGGTCTTGAGCGGGATCTCCTGGGGCTCCTCCGGGGCGCCCAGGCCCGGGGACTTGGAGCGGAAGCTCTCGCCGTTGCTGGGGGCCGGCGACAGGGCCTGCGAGGACGAGGACTCGGACAGGGCGGGGCTACCCGCGCTGCGGCTCTCCAGGTCGCCCACGGCCGACGAGGAGTCGTTGCTCAGGCGGTCACTCTCTCCGGACCCGTTATCCACGGAC